ATATTAATTTTGTTGCCCTTGTTCTACTGTAGAATAAAAAGTCTGGGGAAAGATCAAAATCCCAAAAAGCAAATTTGGACCTAAATCAAGTGAAAGAACATGGTGTATTGTTTGAGTGTGTTCCTGATAGCTGTACTGACCAAAAGAAACCCGATTCCACTATAATGTACTGGGTGGTAGGGTAAGTAATACTTTTTTTCTTAATTTAGTCTAAATACTTGTTATTTAGTGTCCAAATTCTCAGAACACTTTTGTTTAATACAAATAATCTATATAGTCTTTTAGGTTCTTCCCTAATCCAACAATTGGTAGTAGAATATGTAATATACTAAAAATGTAGCAAAGATTGAATTCATACATATTGAAGGTTTCAACAATCTCTACTGGAGCTTTAAAATTGTATCTAATTTTGATAGGTCTGTTTTAATCCTTTAGTAAACTCTTGCAAAAAATATTGTTTTTCAAATATATTTTAAATCTTGTGCTGACACTGAATTATGTTTTTTTCTGCAGGAGGCTCTTCCTAGATCCAAAACCTCGGGAATTTTATGTCTGTTTTCATGACTCAGTCACAGAGGTTGCTGTTGAATTGGCTTTTAAGTTATCATTTGGTTTAGCTGTATAGATAAACATATCTGCAATTTTTCATTTTCTACGTCGCACAAAACAGAAGTATTAACATTGTGGTTTTGTTTGAGGTGCTCTTTAAAATATTCTCTAAAATCAGTTATTTAATAGAAAAAAATTCAAACATTTATAACATTATTTATGAAAGTCATTCCTTTCAGAAGACTGGGTGTTATGATATTATGTATTAATTATACATTATATGTAAATATTACGTATAGAATCAATGATCAAAATATATACACACAGCCACATTTTTTTCCTTAAAGCCATATCCTTGGAAGATGCACCTGTAGAACTTGCAAACAATCTCATTCATTATGCAGTTAGGTCAGAGAATTCTATTATGTATGCACTTTTTTGGACTTTATTTAAAGAGTACAATGTAATGCTTGCATATTATGTCCAAGGCAGGGAACTGTTTTATTTCAGCTTAGTATGGAGTTTAAGATCAAAATAGGTAGATACCAAAACTAGAGTTCAAAACTTCAGATGATCAACATGGTTTTATCAGAAATAAAGGAAAAAAATCTTAGTTTTTGCTGTCATCTAATGATTGTTCAGATCTGGTGGCCTTAACAAAATGGATTCCTTAAAACTTGCAGAAAATTTATATGCGAATTCTTAGGGGAGATAGTTTACCTTACATTAAATGGATATAGTACTTTGTGATACAAAAAGAAGTTATATTTATATTTAGAAAATATGTGTTATAAAATAAAACTGAAAGTTTCCTGGTACTTTGAAGCAAATGGGGAATTGTCCATTTCGTTTCAGAAAATGTTATATGACTTTTTTACAATAAAGGAATATTCTTCATATAGTCTTGTATATAATTTAATTCTTTTTAATTTAATTTTTAACTAAAATATATCTTTTTATGGATTCATTATATTCCTGATTGTTAGACATGCTTTTTAAAAATATTATTTATTTTATTTATTTATATTTGGATTTATATCCCGCCCTTCTCCCGTAGGACTCAGGGCGGCTGACAATCAATTAAAAACATAAATAACAGTACAAATTTAAAATTAGTTAAAAGGAATATTTAAATATTTGTCAAATTTAAAATATAATTAAAACCCCTCTAAAAATTACCCTAGGCCAGTCCTGCAAGCTGGAACAGCCAA